AATAGCAGAATACATATTCTTCTCAAGCTTGCATGGTGCATTCACCAAGATAGACCACGTCCTGGACCATAAAATGCAGCTTAACAAATTTAAAAGAAAAGAAATCATACAGAGTATGCTCTTAGACCACAATGGAGTAAAACTAGAAGTCAATAATAGAAAGATAACTAGAAAAACCCAAAATATTTGGAAATTAAACAGTGTACTTTTAAATAACACATGGGTCAAAGAAAAAGTCTCAAGAGAGATTAAAAAATATTTTGGTGATACCAGAACCAAGACGGTGGAGTAAGGAGTGTCATGTTCCTGTCATTCCACAGAAAAATAATAAAAGCAAGCAGAATATGACAGTGCTAGCTTTGTCAGGGGGGCAGTGGTGGCTCAGTAGTAGAATTCTCACCTTCTATGCCAGAGACCTGGTTCCATTCTTGGCCATTGCACCTCAAGCACAGCTACCTACCACCTGTCTGTCAGTGGAGGCTTGCGTGTTGTTATGCTGCTGAACAGGTTTCAGTGGAGCTTCTAGACTAAGGCAGACTAGGAAGAAAGGCTTGGTGATCTGCTTCTTAAAAATCAGCCACTGAAAACCCTATGGGTCGCAATGGTCCAATCCCATTGTGCATGTGGTAGCTGGAGTAAAGGGCTGACTTGATGGCAGCTAACAACAACAGCCTTGTCTGAATTCTGGTGAACAGTATGGGGATCACAGCAGTCAGGTGAAGGCTTGTCAGAACAGAAGGAAGGCTCTGAGACTTTTTTTTGATCCTAGCTTGACCACCATCCCCACCCCTGCTTGGCAGGCATCGAGTTTGAAGCAGCAACCATGTTTCCAGCTTGAAATCTTGGTCTCTGGTTCTAGAGTGAACAGAGCACCCCTTATTAACAAAGTATGGTGTTTGCCTATTCAGATCAGTTAAGTGACTATCTAAAGGACTAAAGCAAAGTGCTTGTCTCTGTTTCATCCATCTTGGAAGTTGCTTAGAGCAGAGGAGCAGCAAGCATAGCCTGAGGCACTATAAGGTAAACTGAGAAGCCTGTGGATTACCTGGTGTAACAGAGAGCAAATGATACACCAGGGTCAAAAGTCTGTGGGAGAATTTCTTTGAGAAGTTGGGGCATTTAAAACACCAAAGTGTGTATAATTTGGAGAGCCACACACATGCCCTGGGTAAGATGCATGCCCATGAAGATCTGAGGTAATCCCTAAGCTTTCTCTTCAGGTGGATGTGTTGGCTCAATGTAAATCTGGTTAAGGATTGCCCCAGTATAGAGCCATACTGCAAAGACTGCAAGCTCCTTCCTCCCCAATGCTTTTTCTTCTGTTTGTTTCTCCAAAAATAGTTTTGAAAATTTGCAAAGCTAGTGGACTGCCATAGCTTTCAACAGTAGAAAAAGAGGAAAATAGAAAAAAAACGAAGAAAAAGCAAGAAAAGAAAGGAAAACCTACAAACAAAACAAGCTTAGCAAACCCTGAGAAAGGGGGAAAACCTGAGTTTTAGAACTATCACGTTATACTATTCAAATGTCCCATTTTCAGCAAAAAAAAAAAAAATCACAAGACATACAGAGAAACAAGGAAGGATGACCCATTCAAAGGAACGAAAATAAACCAACAGAAACCGTTCTTGAAGAACATCAGTCATTGGATCTACTAGATTCAGATTTTAAGACAACTTTTAAGTATGTTCAAAGAACTAAAGAAAAGTACAAAGAACTAAAGGTAATCAAGAAAATGATACATGACCAAAATAAGAATATTAACAGAGATAGAAATTACAAAATTAAACCAAACAAATTCTGTAACTGAAAAACACAATAACTGAAATTAAAAATTCACTAGAGGAGTTTAACAGTAGATTTGAACTGGCAGAGGAAAGAACCAAATAACTTTAAGATAGGTCCATTAAGATGATCCAGTGTAAGGATCAGAAAGAAAAAGGATAAAGAAAAATGAACAGACAGTAACAGACCTGTGGGAACAGTATGAAGGACAGTTTTGCTGTATTTTTGGTTTGTAACTATATTTGTTATGTTCTACATGATATGAAACACAAAAGTGTACATAATAGTTATATGATACTGGGCACATAATGTATAAAGATGTAAATTGTGACATTAGCAGTATAACGTGGGAGGAGGGAGCAGTATAGGAACAGAGTTAAGTTGATATCATTTTAACCTAGGTTGTAATAAATTTAGGATGGTAAATGTAAGCCCCAAGGTAACCACAAAGAAAATTTCTGAAAAATATATATACACAAAAAGAAATGAGAGGGGAATCAAAATGATTCACCATAAAAATCAACTAAATACACCAAAAAATGGCAGTATTCAAGAAAATAAGGCACAGGTATAAGACACCAAGAAAACACAGCAAAATGGCAGAAGTAATCCTTCTTTATTGGTAATTACATGTGAATGGATTGAACTCTTCAGTCAAAAGGCATAGATTAGCAGAATGGGGTAAGAAAACATGATCCAACTATATATTGTCTACACAAGACCCATTTTAAATCAAAAGACACAAATAGGTTGAAAGTGAAAGGATGAAAAAAAATATCCCATGCAAGAAACCAAAAGAGAGCTGGCATGGCTGTATTAATGTCAGACAAAATAGCCAAAAACTGTTATAAAAGACAAAGAAGGACATTATATAAAGATAAAACAATCAGTTTATCAAGAAGAGATAGCAATTATCAATTTACATGCACCTTACAGCATAGCCCCAAAATATGTGAAGCAAACACTGGCAGAACTGAAGGGCAAAATAGACAGTTCTACAGTAGTAGTCAGAGACTTCAACATACTGTTTTAAATAATGGATAGAATCTAGACAGAAGATCAACAAAAAACAGAGGACCTGAACAGCACTATAAACCAACTAGACCTAACAGACATTTATGGAAGACTTCATCCAATTACAACAGGATATACATTCTGCTGTAGTGCACACGGATCATTCTTTAGGTTAGACCGTATACTAGTTCACAAAATCATCTCAATAAATTTAAAATGATTAAAATCATATAAAATATCTTCTCTGACCATAGAAGAATAAAACTAGAAAGCACCAATAGAAAGAAAAGTTCACAAAAATGTGAAAACTGTAAACAACACACTATTTAACAACTGATAGGTCCAAGAAGAAATCACAAGAAATATTAGGAACTACTTTGAGATGAATGAGAATGAGAAGCACAATATAACAAAACATATGGGATGCTGTGAGGGTAGTACTGAGAGGGAAAGTTACAGCTATAAATGTTTACATTAAAAAAGAAGAAAGAGCCCAAATCAGTAATCAACTTTATACCTTGAGAAACTAGAAAAGGAAAAGCAAAGTAAATCCAACACAGCCAGAAGGAAGGAAATAATAAAGCTCAGAGCAGAGGTAAATGAAACAGAGAATAGAAAAACAATAGAGAAAATCAGCAAAACTAAAAGTTGGCTCTTTGAAATTGACAAACTCCTAGCTAGACTGACAAGGAAAGAAAGAAGACTCAAGTAACTAAAATCTTTAATGGGAGTAACAATGTTAGTACTGACTTTGCTACTAAATTAGAAGGGTCATTAGAGAGTATTATGAAAAATTCTATGTCAACAAACTATATAAACTAGATGAAATGGATAAATTCCTAGAACAGAAACTACCCAAATTGACTCAACAAGAAATAGAAAATCTCAATGAATCTGTAACAAGGGAAGAGATTGAAACAGTAATCAAAAAACTTCCTAACAAAGAAAAGTCCAGGACCAGATGGCTTCCCTGGTGAATTCTGCCAAACATTTAAAGAAGAATTAGCACCAAATCTTCTCAAACTCTTCCAAAAAATAGAGAAGGAGGGAACTAACTCATTTTATGAGTCCAATATTACCCTGATAACAAAGCCAGTTAAAGACCACAAAAAAGAAAACTGCATACCAATATCCCTTATGAATATACTTGCAGAAATCCTCAACAAAACAGTAGCAAACTGAATCCAACAGCATATTTAAAGGATTATACATTGGCAAGGATGTGGAGAAATTAGAACACTGGTACATTGCTGGTGGGAATGTAGAATGGTGCAGCCTCTGTGGAAAATAGGTAAACATAAGTTAAACATAGAATTACCATATGACCTAGTGATTCCACTCCTAGGTATGTACCCAAAATAATTGAAAGCAGCGTTTCAAGCAGACACATGTACACCAGTGTTCATTGAAGCATTATTCACAATAGCCAAAAGGTGGACACAACCCAAGTATGAATAACAGGTAAATGGATAAACAGAACAGATAAATGGGTAAACAAGACAGATAAATGGATAAACAAAACAGATGAATGAATAAACAAAATATGGGGTATACATACAGTGGAGTATCATTCAGTTATAAAGAGAAATGAAGTTGTGATTCATGCCACTATATGGAGACACTTGTCCCCGGACACAAGTCCAAGGGGGTGGAATGACATTCCGAGGCACCACAAATATGAAAGGCGCCTGATTGAGGCAGCTGGAGAAGAGGGGGGAAGACGTTTCTGCTGACTGTCACCACTATCAATGTCTCTTCATCTTGAAAATGGGGGAGTGGGGGTACAACTTCGAGATTGCCCCTGGACGCTTGAATGGGGGGGCATAATTTAGAGATTGCCCCTGGTCACTCATTATCCTCACTGTGCCCCAGGGGAACACTATGTTCTTTCTGTACAATTTTTCTATAAACCTAAAATGCTCTAAAAACAAACTATTATTAAAAAAAGAAAAAGAAAAGAATTACAAAGGAAACTAATTATCCTGAATCCATTAATAAAACTATTAAATGTGTGATATATTAAATATCCAGATAAGAAACTTCTCACACCCCGCTGCACCTGGTGCAAATTTCATTTATTGTTTCTTTTGGGGAAAAGTTGACTTGGTTTTAAAAAATTTCTAAAAATTGAGTTTGAGGCCATTTTCTTGTATTTAACCTTTTATCTTTAGAAGCACTAAACAAAATTATTTTCTTATTTTTAGTGCTTTTGTTCCATTGAGTGTTCCCAATAACAAAAATTCTACAGAGTGGGAAAAAGTGAAGTTCCTGTTTGAAGAACTTGGAAGCAGTCGTAAGTATTCTTTAAAAACAACAACATCCATTATATTTCATGATCCTTGGGAGTTTTTGAGTAGTTGCCTAATTTTACTTTGTCAAGAATTTAACCCTATAATTCTTCTAACTTGTGGTTTAAAGTTTGCTAGACAAATTAAGAGTTATGTGTTTTTAATGCTCACTTCTAGCTGTCTAGCTGCTACGTAGCTAGTCTCTTGACTTTTCCATGAAGTTCCTGTATTGAAAATAAAATATAATCTTTTTCTTAAAGTATTTTGGTAGTAAAGATCTTATAATTTCTATGTCGTCTTTAATTCATTTTGGGTAACATAAAATAATATGTTAAAGAAATGTGCTAGGTATACTATACTTTCACACAAAAAACACCTGCCTTTTACATTTGTTTACCAACCACTCCCTCCCCCATATTTTGTAAACACGCTATGCTAATTTTTTTACAGCAACATGTAATAAAAATTGGCATAGCAGAGTTTACAGAAATACCTCCCAAAGGGAGGGATCTGTTGGCAAACAAACATAGAAGGTGCGTGCTATTTCTATACAAACATGGTATTGGTTTTAATTAAAAAAAAAAAAGAGATAACCCTATATTGCTGTTTGAGATTAAGTTATCTTTTATGAGGAATATAAATTACAGAGGTTTTATGTGAATTAAATAATGTTATTATAAATTTACCTTACCAAAACATTTTAGAATTGAAGTCTTCCCCAGAAGTTTTCCTTAATGTAATGAATGTAACTTAGGTTTTTAGAGACAAAAAACAAACAAACAAACAGGCAGGTTCAGGGGGTTAGATTAAGAAAAGAGCTTAACCATTATGTCTTAGTTATTTAGTGCAGCTATTTAGTGCAGAAATTCCACCAGTGGGTGGTTTTAAAATAATTAATTTAATTTAATTAAATAAATTTAACTTTATTTCTCACAGTTTAGGAGGCTAGATGTCTGAATTCAGGGTGCTGGCTCTCGGAGAAGGCTTTCTCTCTCTGGGCTCTGGGGGAAGGAAGGTGGTCATCTCTTCAACTTCTGTTTCCTGGTTCCTTGGAGCTCACCATGTGGCTTGGCATCTGTCTTCCCCCATCTCAGTTTGCTTAATCTGCTTGTTTTATATTTTGTAAAAGATTGACTGAAGACACACCCTACACTAATCCAGCTTCATTAACCTAACAAAGACATCCCATTCCCAAACAGGATTATAACCACAGGCATAGAGGTTAGGATTTACAACACATATTTTTGGGGGACACAATTCATAACACATTGAAAAAATAGTTTTGGCATTAGAAACTGATATCAAATAAGAATTGTGTACCATTTTACTCTAAATTTCATGTTCTTTTGAACATAGTAATTTTAGTTTCAAAGCAACCTGCAGTACTTACTTTATAAACATTATGCTAAAAAATCTAATTGCTTTTGTGTGTATTCTTTCTAATAGGTACTATACGCATACTTTGATCAGCACTTCTTTCTGTTTACCCAGATACAATATTAAGTGAAGATTAAATTAAGTCTTGGAGTCTTTGCTGTATAAGCTCTTAAATTTTCTTACTTTCTGCTTAAGATTTCATCTTGTAAATTGTAGTCCATTAATATCTTGCTGATACCAGCAAGAATAAGGAGAGCAGACCTGCCATCTACTAACACTGAATTGTCAGGATTTATGCACCTGATCCTATTACTGAGAAATAAATTGCTTCTCTTCTTCAAGTTAACTCTTGAATCTCTTGAGTAGTTAATTACTGCCCTAAATGTTATTTTATAAGTAAGATCAGTGTTTGAATATTAGTATAACTTCAATAAGTGATTAGGTAAGTAGCACTATTCTGATTTCTGTAATTTCACTTTCTTTACTCTTATTATCTCAAATTTTAAACACCATATCACGGTAAATAGTACCTTTTGCTTATAACTCTCTCAGATCAGCTGTCTTTTTGGTTTGAAAACATTGTCACCAAACTATTCTTAATTTCTAATCTTATTATCCCTTACCCCACTTCACTGATCTCAGGCATCAAGGATATCTAATTTATTTAAAGATATGATTTACTTCAATAACAAAGAGAAATTTATTCTCTCACAGTCTAGTAGGCTATAAGTCAAATTCAGGACATCAGCTCCAGGAGGAGGCCCCCTCTCTCTGTCAGCTCTGGAGGAAGGTCCTTGTGATGCATCACTCTTCCCTTGGTCTGGGAGCGTCTCAGTGCAGAAACCTCAGGTCCAAAGGACACACTCTGCTCCCAGCACTACTTTCTTGGTACGAGGTTCCCATGTGTCTCTGCTCGCTTCTCTCTTTTATATTTCAAAAGAGATTGGTTTAAGACACTATCTAATCTTGTAGACCTCATGAGGATAACTGCCACTAATCTGTTGTATTACATCATAGTGATAGAGTTTACAACACATAAGGAAATCACATCAGATTACAAAATGGTACACAATCATACAATAGTGGGAATCATGACCCAGCCAAGTTGACAGATATTTTTGGGGGACACAATTCAATCCATGACACCATTACTCCAGAAATTTCCTCAGTGTGCATTTCCAGTCAATACCTTCTCGAATGAGAAGCAACCACTGTTATGATTTCTGCCATTTTAGATTAGTTTTATTTTTAATATCATGAATCATATATTATGATTCTTTTTTTGTATGTGTCTGGCTTCCTTCACTAAACAATATTTTAAAATTCACCTATATTAAGTGTATTAGTAGTTGGTTCCTTTATATTGCAGCATAGTAATTTATCTCATGAATATAACACAGTTTGGTTGGAAGCAGCCTTTTGCTAAATAACAGGATATATTTATTAGACAGATGTGTGAGTTCAGATCACAGGCCCTACCAGATCAAGAGAACTTATCGTGTCTTCAGCACAAGCGTATCTAGCCATCCTTTACCCAAATGGCAGTAACTTAATGATCAATTGTGAAGTTTTTGGTGCCTTGTTAATGCTGTGCTTTAACTTAATGTCTAAATAGATGATTTGGACTATTAGTAATATTAACTTTTCTGATTGTCCAAGCATGTCAGCATAATACAGGCAATCCCCGCATTACAAATGAGTTCTGTTCCTAAGTCTGTCCTTAAGTCAAATTTGGACATAAGTTGGAACAGTTAGATACAGTTTGTTTCTAACATTAGTCATTCAAATGTTTGGCTTTGTATATAGTGTACCTTTCTATGCATAAAAACCATTAAAGAAACACTTCCAGATACACTAAAACATCTTTAACAATAATAATAATAATGTTTGGATGTGTGTCACAGAGTAGTGCCTATTTGTTATTATGAACTGTTTGTAAGTACCTAGAACTTTTAATACAATAGGCTTTATAGGGATTGGTTGTAACCATGGGTTGTATGTAAGTCAGACGTTTGTAACATGGGGACTGCCTCTACTTGATTTTATTAATTCTAGAATTCATATTCTTTTCACATTTTTATCTTTCTGGTTTTGGGACTGTCTTAGTTATCTAGTGCTACTCTAACAGGAATATCACAAGTGGATGGCTTTAACAAAGAGAAAGTTTATTCTCTCACAGTCTCGTAGGCTGGAAGTCCAAATTCAGGGTGTCAGCTCCAGGGGAAGGCTTTCTCTTCTCTGTTGGCTCTGGAGGAAGGTCCTCGCTGTCATCAGTCTTCTCCTGGACTAGGAGCTTCTCTGCGCAGGAACCTCGGGTCCAAAGGACGCGCTCTGCTCCTGGTGTTTCTTTCTTGGTGGTATGAGGTCCCCAACTCTCTGCTTGCTTCCCTTTCCTTTTATCTCTTGAGAGATAAAAGGTGGTGCAGGCCACACCCTAGGGAATCTCCCTTTACATTGAATCAGGGATGTGACGTTAGTAAGGGTGTTATACAATCCCACCCTAATCCTCTTTAACATAAAATTACAATCACAAAATGGAGGACAACCACACAATACTTGGAATCAGGGCTCAGCTAAATTGATACACACATTTTTTGGGGGGACATAATTTAATCCATGACAGGGACCTATTTTTTAAGTGATATAACCTTAAATGGAGCCCTGGTGGCTCAGTAGTTAAGAGCTCGGCTGCTAACCAAAAGGTCAGTAGTTCGAATCTACCAGCTGCTTCTTGGAAACCCTGTGGAGCAGTTCTACTCTGTCCTATAGGGTCTCTATATGTCAGAATCGACTTGAGAGCAATGGGTTTGTTTGTTTTGTTTTGTTTTGTTTTTGGTTTTATAACATTAAATTGCTGTCTTCCAGGTGGCAGTCCTTTCCTAGTTGTATGAATACCTTTTTTGATACTTCTTGAAAGATCAGGATAAGTAATAGCATCAGAGTGTCTTTTGATTTGGTAGAACATAATATTAAATAGTTTTTGAAAAATTAAAGCTTAGAAGTTTGCCTTGCAGAATATGCAAATTAGTTAATAAAAAAAGGCTTTTTTGTATGTTATATAAAACTGAGACATAGTTTTTAAGAAGATAGATTATTCTAATATTAATGTTAATCATGAAAATATTAATATTAAATTAAGCAAAACTTTATATTTGGTCCCACAGGATGTACATTCAAACTGGATCAATATGGATGCAATAGGACATCTATTAAAATTAGAAAAATTAGTATCGCTCTCATTTATGAATATTCAAATTTATATGGTATTTCATTACATAAACTGGTATATTTATTTGAAAAGATCACTCCTGCTCCTCATTCATTGGCCTTCCTTTAAATAATTTCCTAAATCTAGCTTGTTAACACGCTTTTATGGTATTATTGTTTGAATCTATTTTCTGTTTATTTTTGCTTTTATTTTTCTGCCATGCAGACAGGCTAGCCCATTTCAAGGTAATGAGTAACTTTGAGTCTTCAGTTAAGTTTTAGTTTTAGGCTATCTGTAAAAACTTCTTGAAAGATTAAGAATAAAAAAACTTGAAGTATTAGAGTTTAGGATAGAGGGGAGAAGGTGTCAAAATCAGTAGCTTTTATATGTAATGTTATTTCTTTCAGTCAATGTCTGCCATTGAAAAAGGCCAGGATATCTTTTTATCAACTTTTTGAGCATCTGATGTTTTGCTAATCTTTTTTTTAGGCCCAATAATTAGGCAGTAATTTTCCTCTTAATTTTAAGAGGTGAAGGAAAGAAAATCTTAGTGTGAAAGATGTTTTACAAATCAATTTGTGAGGAAACCTTTAGAATCTCTTTTCTCTACTTGGAGTTAGCTCTCCCAGGATGTGGTTATAATACTGATTTTATTCCATCAGAATGTATAAGCAGTCAAATTTTTTTATGTTGATTTATTGAATACAAACATTTGAGTAGTATATGGATATATATGCATATAAACACATATTTAGCAGAGTGTTTTTTGTTGTTGTTGTTGTTTTTTTTGTAGATGGTTTGGCTGCATTGTCTTTTTCCATTAGTTCTCTCACCTTGATCGGAATGTTGGCAGCTATAACTTACACAGTAAGTGACTAATTGCATTAATTGAGCTTAAATGAAAGAATCAATTTATGAAGCAGTTTAATTTTCCTTAAACTTAGGCATGTGTTCTCTTTAATTCTGTTTTCCTTTTTAATATTTTAGATCTTCCTCTCCCATTTTTCTTAACTTGAGGAGGGTAAATTTTTAACTACTGAGTCACAATCATCTATCTGTATTTATGAAATTAAATATTTAGAGACAGATTTTATAAGTTGTGAACCTTGAAGATTATATTATGCAGTACTGAATTTCGTGATTTATAAGCAGATTAGAACTCTGAACCATAGATCAATACCTGTTACTGATTTAGCAGATTTATCCTACTTGGAATATAGGGCTTTTAAAATCAGTTATTTTACATAATGTTACGCTTCTCTAAAATCTAATCCTATACTCTTTAGAAACTGATTTTGTTTTTAGTCTTTTTTTTCTGGAAGTGTAAGATGTGAATTATAAAATGTCTGACCAACTTGCATACAGATTGTTCTTTAAGGCTTTTGCTGAAATTACAGAGGAAAAGCCAGTAATAAATGTTTCTTACCTACTCCATGTGAGAGAGTTATACCAGAAGCCTCAAAATTATCTGGAACCTTTTCAGATTAATGGAGTTTACATTTAGAACACTCTCAGTTCTTGCAAAGATGGAAAATACTGTTTGTAAAGGAAATATTTTTTGGTATTATTCCAATATGTCTTCCTTTATATGTAAAAGAAATTGGCTATTTGTTACATAATCATTCAAGTGTTATACTGCATAATAAAAGATGTCTAAAAATACAGATGCATTTGACTACATTTCAGGTGCTTTTTGGGTACTCAGTTTTATTATTCATTTGCCTTTTATTTTTTTCCATTTATTACCACATAAGGAATTTGCCATCTGATGTCAATGAGTGATTATTCTTTCATCTCACAGAATATATGTACAGGTTGTTAGTTATTCATCCTTTAAGATGCAGTTACACAAGTTAATAACAAATTTGGAGTTAATCTGAATTCTCATTGGTATTCTGTAACTAATTTGTTATGTTGTTCTTAGAATTGCCTTTTAACCTTCCTGAGGCAGTGTCTTCCCTATATTAAATGGGGAAAAAAATGCCTCAGTATTTTTTGAGAGTGAAATGATGTTATTTGTAAATCTCTTTGAAAACTCTAGGGCAATGAGGATATAATACACAATAAAAGATTGGTCAGGAGAAACAGATGAAAAAAGAGGAAACAGAGATGTATTGCCAATGTCAAGAATTATGAAGGGTCTGAGATTTTACCCTTACAGCCTGCCATAGTTTCATGGATGCTGGCTGAAGATGCAAGACTTCTTTTGGGTCAGAGACAAAGAACTTTATTACTCAGAGCAATCATAAGCAGAGTATCAATATTTTTTTTTTTAATTGTGCTTTAGATGAAGGTTTACTGAGCAAATTAGTTTCTCACTAAACAGTACACATATTGTTTCGTGACATTGGTTGCCAACCCTACGAACGTGTCAACCCTATCCCCTTCTTGACCTTGAGTTCCCCATTACAAGCTTTCCTGTCCCCTCCTGCCTTCTCGTCCTTGCCCCTGGGCTGGTGTGCCCCTTCAGTCTCATTTTCTTTCATGGGGTCTAATCTTTGGCTGATGGTGAACCTCAGGAGTGACTTCAATACTGAGTTAAAAGGGTGTTCAGGGGCCATACTCTCGAAGTTTCTCCAGTCTCTGTCAGACCAGTAAGTCTGGTCTTTTTTTATGAGTCAAAATTTTGTTCTACATTTTGCTCCAGCTCTGTCTGGGACCCTCTACTGTGATCCTTTTCAGAGCAGTAGGTGGTGAGAGCTGGGCACCATCTAGTTGTACTTGATTCAGTCTGGTGGAGGCTGTGGTAGTTGTGGTCCATTAGTCCTTAGGACTAATCTTTCCTTTGTGTCTTTGGTTTTCTTCGTTCTTCTTTGCTTCAGACGGGGTGGGACCAGTGGAGTATCTTAGATGGCCACTCACAAGCTTTTAAGACCCCAGACACTACTCACCAAAGTAGGATGAAGAACATTTTCTTTTTTTTATTGTTGTGCTTGAAGTGAAAGTTTATAATTCAAGTTAGTCTCTCATACAAAAATTTATACATATATCATTACGTGACCCTAGTTGCTCTCCCTATGCTGTTATGGCACGCTCCCCCTTTCCACCCTGGATTTCCTGTGTCCCTCAACCAGCTCCTGATCCTCTCTGCCTTCTCATTTCATCTCTGGACAGGAGCTGCCCATTTAGTCTCTTCAAGAGTATCATTTTATGCCCCATAGTCCAGTCTAATCTTTGTCTGAAGAGTTGGCCTCGGGAATGGTTTTAGTTTTGGGCTCACAGAGAGACTGGGGGCCATGTCTTCCTGGGTCCCTCCAGTATCAATCAAACCATTAAGTCTGGTCTTTTTACTAGAATTTGAGTTCTGCACCGTACTTTTCTCCTGCTCTGTCTGGGACTCTCTGTTGGGTTCCGTGTCAGGGCGGTCATTGGTGGTAGCCGGGCACCATCTAGTTCTTCTGGTCTTAGGCTGATGAAGTCTTTGTTTTATGTATCCCTTTCTGTCTCTTGGGCTAATACTTTCCTTGTGTCTTTGGTGTTCTTCATTATGCTTTACTCCAGGTGGGTTGGGACCAATTGGTGCATCTTAGATGGCTGCTCACTAGCTTTTAAGACACCAGATGCCACTCACCAAAGTGGGATGCAGAACATTTTCTTAATAAACTTTGTTATACCAGTTGACCTAGATGTCCCCTGAAACCATGGTCCCCAGACCCCCCACCCCTATTACTCTGTCCCCCAAAGTATTTGATTGTATTCAGGAAACTTCTTAGCTTTGGTTTAGTCCAGTTGTGCTGACTTCCCCTGTAGTATGTATTGTCCTTCCCTTCACCTGAGATAATTCTTGTCTACTATCTAGCTAGTGAATACCCCTCTCTTTCCCTCCCCACCCTTGTAACTATCAAAGAATGTTTTTTTTTTCTGTGTTTAATATGATTTTCTGTGTTAAAATACGATATTTGTCCTTTTGTGACTGACTAAATTCACTCAGCATAATGCATTCCAGATTCCTCCATGTTGTAAGATGTTTCACGGATTTATCATTGTTCTTTATCGTTGCATAGTATTCCATTGTGTGAATATACCATAATTTGTTTATCCATTTGTCCGTTAATGGGCACCTAGGTTGTTTCCATCTTTTTGCTATCGTAACCAGTGCTGCAGTGAACATGGGTGTGCATATATCTATTCGTGGGATGGCTCTTATTTCTCAAGGATATATTCCAAGGAGTGGAATTGCTGGATTGTATGGTACTTCTATTTCTAGCTTTTGAAGGAAGCACCAAATCGATTTTCAAAGTGGTTGAACCATTTTACATTCCTAACACTGTATAAGTGTTCCAGTCTCTCCACAACCTCTCCAACATTTATTATTTTGTGTTCTTTGGATTAATGCTAGCCTTGTTGGTGTGAGATGGTATCTCATTGTAGTTTTGATTTGCATTTCTCTAATGGCTAATGATCATGAGCATTTCCTCATGTGTCTATTAGCTGCCTGAATGTCTTCTTTGGTGAAGTGCCTGTTCATATCATTTGCCCATTTTTTAATTGGGTTATTTGTCTTTTTGTTGTTGAGATTTTGCAGGATCTTGTAGATTGTAGAGATTGGATGCTGATCGGATTTGTCATAGCCAAAAATTTTTTCCCTGTCTGTAGGTTATCTTTTTACTCTTTTGGTGAAGTGTTTTGATGAGCATAAGTGTTTGATTTTTAGGAGCTCCCAATTATCTAGTTTCTTTTCTGGTGTTTGTGCATTGTTACTTATGGTTTATATTCTCTTTATGCCATGTATTAAGGCTCCTAGTGTTGTCCCTACTTTTTCTTCCATGATCTTTATCATTTTAGATTTTATATTTAGGTCTTTGACCCATTTTGAGTTAGTTTTTGTGCATGGTGTGAGATATGGGTCTTGTTTCAGTTTTTTGCAGCTGGATATCCAGTTATGCCAGCACCAGATGTTAAAGAGACTGTCTTTTCCCCAATTAACAGACTTTGGGCCTTTGTCAAATATCAGCTGCTCATAGGTGGATGAATTTACGTCTAGATTCTCAATTCTGTTCCATTGTTCTATGTATCTGTTGTACCAGTACCAGGCTGTTTTGACTACCGTGGTGGTATAATAGATTCTAAAATCAGGTAGTGTGAGGCCTCCCACTTTGTTCTTCTCCTTTAGTAATGCTTTACTTATCCAGAGCCTCTTCCCTTTCCATATGAAGTTGGTGATTTGTTTCTCCGTCTCATTAAAAAATGCCATTGGAATTTGGATCGGGATTGCATTGTATCTGTAGATTGCTTTGGGTAGAATTGACATTTTCACAATGTTGAGTCTTCCTATCCATGAGTAAGCTATGTTTTTCCACTTATGCAGGTCTCTTTTGGTTTCTTGCAGTAGTGTCTTGTAGTTTTCATTGTATAGGTCTTTTACGTCTCTGGTTAGATTTTTACCTAAGTATTTTATCTTCTTGGGAGCTATTTTAAATGGTATTGATTTGATGATTTCCTCTTCGAAGTCCTCTTTGTGAGTGCAGAGGAATCCAAGTGATTTTTGTATGTTTATCTTGTATCCTGAAACTTTGTTGAAATCTTCTATTAGTTCCGGTAGTTTTCTTGTGGATTCTTTGGGGTTTTCTGTGTATAAGATGTTATCTACAGAGATACTTTTACTTCTTCCTTACCAATTTGGATGCCCTTTATTTCTTTTTCTAGCCTAATTGCTCTGGCTAGGACCTCCAGCACAATGTTGAATAAGAGTAGTGATAAAGGGCATCCTTGTTTGGTAGAACATTTTCTTTATAAACTGTGTTATGCCAACTGAGCTAGATGTCCCTTGAGGCCATAGACCCCAGGCCTCAGTCCAGTAATTCAGTCCCTCAGGGAGTTTGGATGTGTCTATGAAGCTTCTGTGACCTTGCCTTGGTCAAGTTGGA